TAAAGATAACTATAAATATAAACTGCAACACATGCATTTTAGAAAAAGCAATGTATAGACAACACTTATTAAATCAAATAAATAGAGAGAATAGACATATAGAATAACAAGCTCCCAACATTTTATCCACACATTTTATTCAGTATATATCTATCAGATATTTTCAGAAATTTATAAAACACACATACACAATTACACCTACATAAATTAATATATTTCAGCAATTTTATGCTATAATGTAAAATTTTATAATATAATATAAAATTGTTCAATTTTGCACAGAGAAATTTGTTTATATTATAAAAACTTCCTCATAAACATTTTATACAGAATACTATATAAGAATATTATAATAAAACAATTCTTAAAAACTTAATAAAGATCCACTAAAGTCTCAAGATTTTCAAATACATGCAAAGACCAGTTTTCTCTACATTATATTAAAATGTTACTTTTAATTCCTCAATTAATAGTAATTTTTCATTGCTTTATACAAATAAAATTTACGTTACAAAATTTAAAAATGTAAAAGTTACATATATAATCTTCAGATTCTTTTTAAATATATTAGTAAATGTAGATTGTGTTAATAAAAAAACAATTTTAGATAAATATTTTCACAAAAATCTTACTTAGTTTTAATATTAAACTTAACTAAAAACAAATAAAATTTGTTAAATTTTTTTGCATGTTATTTTAAATTCCACTACTTAATTTAATATTTATTATATGACAACAAGAATAATAATATAAAAGCACAAAAATTTTTTCTATATAATTAGTATATATTGAAAACATAGTTTAGCAAGCAAAAATTAAAAAATAAAGACAGATAGATATAAGCAAGCTCTTCTGTAAAAGATGATTTTGTTGTATTGATTTAATTCTTGATTGATATCAATATTTCACCATTATGTATAATCACACATGAGAGAGATATACATCAATATTGTATAGATCCTTGTGTCTTTTCTTGCAAAAATATGTCTAATTATTTCCCAAAATTCGTGGACCATTGTCATGCCTGCTCCTTTAATATTATCTTGGGATAAAAATGTAAAATGAGTTAATTTTATTACTAATATTAATAATGTGTATGTAGACTAATATACTTTATACGATATAATGTAAGATTAATATCAATTCAATCAATTATTTATAATAAATTAAAAAAGATGATAATGTGATATTGTTTTCATTACAGTACATATAATCAAAAAATTCTTCACAAACATAAGTGATAAATTATTTTAATAATTTAGACAATATTTCGAACAATGCAATAGTATATTATGATTAAAACTTATTATTTTATTTCAATTAATTTTGAACGTATGTTTTTAACAGATGAAATATAATAAATTCTATACAAAGATCATAAATTCTATTATATTATAATTTAAAACATTATAAATTATAGATAACTAATTAAATAATTCAAATTGTTTTTATTATGTACATACCTGAAAATATCTGTTGATTTACTGAAATTTCAGTATTACATGTTCTATCCTTATTATATTCTTTCATAATATCCGTAAGTAGAATATATGGCATGTTGGATGTGATATAATCCCATTTACCTAATTAAATTAATATAGTTTTACATAATCAATAAAATTACATTTATATAAAAATGTATTATATGCGTAATCTATATATTGTTTCCTGAATAACAAGCAGGATAAAAATTGATAAACTTTATACGTATAAAGATAACTTTTCATATATGCACACAAATTAAATTAGCACCAATGTAATGTAAATATGTAATTTTTCATGTATTATTATTTGCGTTAGTTTAAAATAATAAAGTATGAAGTTAAGTACAATTTATATAAAATAATTACAATTATAATATTTATATAGAATCGCAAGCAATACAGAATGTAGAATTCAAGTAGAAAATGAATGAAAATTATATCGGACATATTAAAAATAGGTTAGATTTTATACCTGATAATAAAGACATAGTTGAATTCTTCTTTTTCTTCGATTTTGGCATCATAAATGATAAAAGTTCCGGTCAGAAATAAAATTCTACAAATCTTTTTAATAAGTATGACACTTGACAATGTTTTATATAGCCAAAGAACGCGCGATAACGTGTTTGCTTAGAGCCTCCGCACAAGGTTTATGGTAATGCATTACGTTATGTATTATTGATCCTAGATCTTAACTCCGTACATAACCTTAAATTTCAGTCAACGCACAAAGAAAATTGTAACGTAGAGACAGTAAGTGATTACTGTCTCTACGTTACGATTTTCTCTGTGCGTTGATTGAATTTTAAGTTTACGTACCGAATTAACATAACATAATGCGTTTTTATTACAGCACGCCTCGTGCGGAAGCCCTTACATCCGTTTCTGTCTGCGCACGGCTTCAATGTGAATGCAATCTAACCATAGATAAGAAAATATAGATACTGAACATTAGCATATATTTCCATGTTTATGATTGCGGCTCTTATATGCCAGCCAAATAAAAGAAAAATCTGTACGTAATAAGCCATACGTAATAAAGCAGAAGCTATGAAAGCTTCAGTAACAAATTCTTTTGACATCGCGGCATCGTAAATAATAAAAGTTCCGGTCAGAAACAAATTTTACGTATCATTTTAATACATTGGGCAAATCTATTTATTATGACTCTTACATAGCAGTCAAAGCATATGCGCGGTAACATGTTTGTACATGTCCGTTCCTATCTACGCACAGGCAATTAACGGCCTCAGTGTATATAATATTTAGATTATTAATGAAATGGAATAGTAACTGATGCAATAAGAAGTAATATCAAAATTCTCATTAAATAAACATCGTGGCATCATAGATGATGAAAATTCCGATCAAAAACAAGTTTTACATGTCATTTTAATATACTTGACAAATCTATTTATCATGACTCTTACGTAGCAGTCAAAGCATATGCGCGGTAACATGTTTGTACACGTCCGTTCCTATCTACGCACAGGCAATTAACGGCCTCAATGTATATAATATTTAGATTATTAATGAAATGGAATAGTAACTGATGCAATAAGAAGTAATATCAAAATTCTCATTAAATAAACATCGTGGCATCATAGATGATGAAAATTCCGATCAAAAACAAGTTTTACATGTCATTTTAATACACTTGACAAATCTATTTATTATGACTCTTACATAGCAGTCAAAGCATATGCGCGGTAACATGTTTGTACACGTCCGTTCCTATCTACGCACAGACAATTAACGGTCTCAATGTGCATATTGTTCAGATTATTAACGAAACTGAATAGTAACTTAGTAATGGAATGAGAAATAACAAAAGTTTTCATTAAATGACACATTAAAGTTTATTAATATAATTTATGTACTTTACAAGCGTACTATTAAAAAAATGTGGAAAACATATATAAATTTCAATAAGCGCTCTTACGTTGTGTGTGTGTGTGTGTGTGCTATTTTAAGTAAATAAAATTCATTCGTGATGTATTATCATTTTTTATGGAATAGGAATAAATATTTTAAGTAAATAAAATTTATTCGTGCGACACACACACACACACACACACACACACAACGTAAGAGCGCTTATTGAAATTTATATATGTTTTCCACATTTTTTTAATAGTACGCTTGTAAAGTACATAAATTATATTAATAAACTTTAATGTGTCATTTAATGAAAACTTTTGTTATTTCTTATTCCATTACTAAGTTACTATTCAGTTTCGTTAATAATCTGAACAATATGCACATTGAGACCGTTAATTGTCTGTGCGTAGATAAGAATGGACGTGTACAAACATGTTACCGCGCATATGCTTTGACTGCTATGTAAGAGTCATAATAAATAGATTTGTCAAGTGTATTAAAATGACATGTAAAACTTGTTTTTGATCGGAATTTTCATCATCTATGATTCCACGATGTTTATTTAATGAGAATTTTGATATTACTTCTTATTGCATCAGTTACTATTCCATTTCATTAATAATCTAAATATTATATACATTGAGGCCGTTAATTGCCTGTGCGTAGATAGGAACGGACGTGTACAAACATGTTACCGCGCATATGCTTTGACTGCTACGTAAGAGTCATGATAAATAGATTTGTCAAGTATATTAAAATGACATGTAAAACTTGTTTTTGATCGGAATTTTCATCATCTATGATGCCACGATGTTTATTTAATGAGAATTTTGATATTACTTCTTATTGCATCAGTTACTATTCCATTTCATTAATAATCTAAATATTATATACACTGAGGCCGTTAATTGCCTGTGCGTAGATAGGAACGGACATGTATAAACATGTTACCGCGCATATGCTTTGACTGCTATGTAAGAGTCATAATAAATAGATTTGCCCAATGTATTAAAATGATACGTAAAATTTGTTTCTGACCGGAACTTTTATTATTTACGATGCCGCGATGTCAAAAGAATTTGTTACTGAAGTCTTCATAGCTTCTGCTTTATTACGTATGGCTTATTACGTACAGATTTTTCTTTTATTTGGCTGGCATATAAGAGCCGCAATCATAAACATGGAAATATATGCTAATGTTCAGTATCTATATTTTCTTATCTATGGTTAGATTGCATTCACATTGAAGCCGTGCGCAGACAGAAACGGATGTAAGGGCCTCCGCACGAAGCGTGGTGTAATAAAAACGCATTATGTTATGTTAATTCGGTACGTAAACTTAAAATTCAATCAACGCACAGAGAAAATCATAACGTAGAGACAGTAATCACTTACTGTCTCTACGTTACAATTTTCTTTGTGCGTTGACTGAAATTTAAGGTTATGTACGGAGTTAAGATCTACGATCAATAATACATAACGTAATGCATTACCATAAACCTTGTGCGGAGGCTCTAAGCAAACACGTTATCGCGCGTTCTTTGGCTATATAAAACATTGTCAAGTGTTATACTTATTAAAAAGATTTGTAGAATTTTATTTCTGACCGGAACTTTTATCATTTATGATGCCAAAATCGAAGAAAAAGAAGAATTCAACTATGTCTTTATTATCAGGTATAAAATCTAACCTATTTTTAATATGTCCGATATAATTTTCATTCATTTTCTACTTGAATTCTACATTCTGTATTGCTTGCGATTCTATATAAATATTATAATTGTAATTATTTTATATAAATTGTACTTAACTTCATACTTTATTATTTTAAACTAACGCAAATAATAATACATGAAAAATTACATATTTACATTACATTGGTGCTAATTTAATTTGTGTGCATATATGAAAAGTTATCTTTATACGTATAAAGTTTATCAATTTTTATCCTGCTTGTTATTCAGGAAACAATATATAGATTACGCATATAATACATTTTTATATAAATGTAATTTTATTGATTATGTAAAACTATATTAATTTAATTAGGTAAATGGGATTATATCACATCCAACATGCCATATATTCTACTTACGGATATTATGAAAGAATATAATAAGGATAGAACATGTAATACTGAAATTTCAGTAAATCAACAGATATTTTCAGGTATGTACATAATAAAAACAATTTGAATTATTTAATTAGTTATCTATAATTTATAATGTTTTAAATTATAATATAATAGAATTTATGATCTTTGTATAGAATTTATTATATTTCATCTGTTAAAAACATACGTTCAAAATTAATTGAAATAAAATAATAAGTTTTAATCATAATATACTATTGCATTGTTCGAAATATTGTCCAAATTATTAAAATAATTTATCACTTATGTTTGTGAAGAATTTTTTGATTATATGTACTGTAATGAAAACAATATCACATTATCATCTTTTTTAATTTATTATAAATAATTGATTGAATTGATATTAATCTTACATTATATCGTATAAAGTATATTAGTCTACATACACATTATTAATATTAGTAATAAAATTAACTCATTTTACATTTTTATCCCAAGATAATATTAAAGGAGCAGGCATGACAATGGTCCACGAATTTTGGGAAATAATTAGACATATTTTTGCAAGAAAAGACACAAGGATCTATACAATATTGATGTATATCTCTCTCATGTGTGATTATACATAATGGTGAAATATTGATATCAATCAAGAATTAAATCAATACAACAAAATCATCTTTTACAGAAGAGCTTGCTTATATCTATCTGTCTTTATTTTTTAATTTTTGCTTGCTAAACTATGTTTTCAATATATACTAATTATATAGAAAAAATTTTTGTGCTTTTATATTATTATTCTTGTTGTCATATAATAAATATTAAATTAAGTAGTGGAATTTAAAATAACATGCAAAAAAATTTAACAAATTTTATTTGTTTTTAGTTAAGTTTAATATTAAAACTAAGTAAGATTTTTGTGAAAATATTTATCTAAAATTGTTTTTTTATTAACACAATCTACATTTACTAATATATTTAAAAAGAATCTGAAGATTATATATGTAACTTTTACATTTTTAAATTTTGTAACGTAAATTTTATTTGTATAAAGCAATGAAAAATTACTATTAATTGAGGAATTAAAAGTAACATTTTAATATAATGTAGAGAAAACTGGTCTTTGCATGTATTTGAAAATCTTGAGACTTTAGTGGATCTTTATTAAGTTTTTAAGAATTGTTTTATTATAATATTCTTATATAGTATTCTGTATAAAATGTTTATGAGGAAGTTTTTATAATATAAACAAATTTCTCTGTGCAAAATTGAACAATTTTATATTATATTATAAAATTTTACATTATAGCATAAAATTGCTGAAATATATTAATTTATGTAGGTGTAATTGTGTATGTGTGTTTTATAAATTTCTGAAAATATCTGATAGATATATACTGAATAAAATGTGTGGATAAAATGTTGGGAGCTTGTTATTCTATATGTCTATTCTCTCTATTTATTTGATTTAATAAGTGTTGTCTATACATTGCTTTTTCTAAAATGCATGTGTTGCAGTTTATATTTATAGTTATCTTTATGTATAGATACAATGTATGTAATATTAATAACTCTAAATTTGTTTTAGCTTATACTTCATCGTCAATAGAAAAAGTGAAGAAAACAAAAAATAATCTCATAAACAAACAAATTATTAATATAAAAAGTATGGAAAAGATACGACCACTGAAGATACGGTTAATTCGTGATAATCGATTAACGTGTGACAGGTAATATTTATTGACATTTTATAATTATTCATTTTGTTTTGTTTCCTCTAATTACATATACTTCCGTTAACTTATTTTAACTTATCTCTTGTCACTACCTTATTCAACATTGTTTTCTTCATTCACTTGCTCTTAAGCTAGCTTTACCGTTCGTCACGTATTCGCTTTCTTATTCCTAATCCTATATATTCCTTATATACTTTAACTTATATACTCTTAATTTCTTAATTTAGCCTTATCTTAACTAATATTTACTATATTAGTTGAATTTTAATAAAACAATGAATTAAATTTTTTACATTTCAATGAAATGTTCATTGAATAAACATCTGCAATTATGTGACTAAAGTAACTTTTCTGTATTATTATCTGTAATGTTCATTTATTTTTACTGATTATAAAATATTGTAGCAAATATTATAGCAAATGCTATATGATTTGTAATTATTCGTATATATGTATAAAATATCAAGTTCATGATAAAATAGTAACGGAATTTACTTTTTGTTTGTTGAAATTTTCAGTTTTAAATATAATATGCATTTTTAAATCATATTTTATAGTAGCGCAATTGTTGCATTTGAATTACATTGAAAAACTAATTTTATAATTTTTGTCGACAGCTATAATTCACTTTCTTCGGTCGAATCATTCAATGTTAAGACTGATAATGTATGTGATGAAACTATATCAAAGAACACGGAAAATACACAATACGATAATGAATATTTTATGGAAAAAGATATTCACACTATTGATATTCATACTAATGGTATGTACTAAGAAAACTTTTTTTTTATCTCGAGAGTAGATTATCAGTTTCATATCTAATATTTTATTAAAAACGTTTTATTAAATGTGTATATTATTAAAAGCTCAGTATTGGAAAATGAAATTATTAAATGTGTAAAAGTTTTTATAAGACTTTTTTATAAGACTTTTTTATATATAATTGTAAAAAATCGAATCTAATTTAATCTTTTATTTTAAAAAAGAAACAGAATTTATGTATTAAGTATTTTTAGATAATTTTGCAGATATTAGTGAAAGAACAGATAATGATGAAATCGAATACAGTTTTGACAAACAGAATAATGAGCTATCAAAAGAACACTGCAATTATTATCAAAATTATGACAGTAAGTTTTTCATTATATTATTTTCACTTTTTAAATCACGTTATATAATAATTTTGAATAGCATTAATCTGTATAATCTTTAATAAGTTTTGCAAACGATATTGACAAAAATCGTACTTTTATATTTCTAAAAACATGTATATATATAATACATAATATATAATATAATACATAATATATTATATTAATATATTATAATATATTATAATTATAATATATTATAATATATTATAATTAATATATTATATTAATAGAGTAGTAATTTACAGGAAAATTATGATAGTAAAGTTAGTATCAATATTACTCTATTTCATTCATTTTTTGTATAATTTTAATATAGATTCTGTTTTGCTAGGCTTGGAATATTTAGATTCTACGAAATATAAAGAAAATTCGGATTCAGAATATTGTCCTTCTGAACATAGTTCTATCTTGGAAGATTCAGATGCTAGCAAAGATAAATTTCCTGAAATCAATGAAAAGAAATTATCAAGTGGATCAATGAAAGTTTCAAATAATATTTCGGGCTTTGAAGTATCACAGATTAATGAGAGCAACATATTATGTCCTGATGACACTAATCTTAATATCGATCCATCTGAAGGACCCAAAGGTGGTAATAAAAAAAACTGCTGTTTCTATTGCCACAAAATGCAATCGAAAATTGCTCGACATTTGGCTACAGTTCACCGCAATGAATCTGAGGTTAAGAAGTTTCTTGATCTTCATCCGAATAATTTGGAAAGAAAAAAAATAATTGAGACAATAAGAAGAAATGGCAATTTTGTTTATAATACTAATAATAATGTAAATGACGGAAAACTTATTGTGGTCAGGCGCCCTCAAAAAAATAAGCAAAAAGACGCAAAAGATTATACAGCTTGTGCAAAATGCAAGGGCTTTTTTGTGAAAAGTAGCATTAGACGCCATTTTCAACAATGCGCAGGCTATAGTAGTAAACAAACTAGGTCTGTGTTAGTTATGGGCAGAGCGATTATTGGACGTATTAATCCTATTGCAGAAGAAACACTGCGAAAAGTAGTTTTTCCTGCACTTAGAGAAGATGAAATAACACGTATGATTCGATATGATGAATTGATTATTATGTTTGGTAATAGATTATGTCGTAAATATCGCAAACAATATCAGTATAAGTTAATACGCTCACATCTTAGATATCTCGGTCGTTTTTTAAAAGCGATGAGAGACCTAAATGTTCAAGTTACAGATATGCAATCAATTTATCATCCTACATTTTACGAAGATTGCATTAGAGCAGTTAACAGAATGTCTGCATTTGATGATAACACAAATACTTATAAAGTGACAACGACACCGCAACTGATGGGAACTTTACTTAAAAAAGTAGGAAATCTTTTGATTACTCAAAGTATAAAGAAGAAAGATTATGAAACAAAGAAAGACACTGAGGAATTCCTTGCTCTTCTCATAGATGATTTCCCAACGAGTGTTAATAAAGCCGCTTTAGAAGCCCAAGAAGAAAATAGAAGATGTAAAAAGACGGAACTTCCTTTAATGGATGATATTATAAAGCTTCGTAATTATCTTGATGAAAAACGTAAAGCCTTGTGTGTAATGTTAAAAGAAACATTTTGTTATAATAATTGGTTAGAATTAGCAAAAGTAACTCTTACGTCTGTACAATTATTTAATCGTCGTAGAGCGGGCGAAATAGAACACCTTCTCATCAAAGATTTTGAGAATTATGTACAAATTTCAGAGAACACAGACGAAGACTTATTCCGATCTCTATCAGGTGCAGCACAAGAAATTGCAAGAAAATATGTAAGATTTACTATACGCGGAAAATTAATGCGTACTGTTCCTGTATTACTATCAGCTGAATTATTAAAATGTATTGAATTGATTTTAAAATATCGAAGCAAAGCTCATGTATCTGCTGCAAATCCGTATTTATTTGGAATTCCGGGATACAATAAAAGTTGTTTCAAATATTTAAATGCTTGTGAATTGATGCGACAATTTTCCACAGCATGTGGTGCAAAACGACCATGGACTCTACGTGGAACGGGTCTCAGGAAACATGTTGCTACGATAAGTGTAGCATTAGATTTATCAGAAAATGATGTCTCTGATCTAGCAAAACATATGGGTCATGCCATAGCAATACATAAAGAAATCTATAGGCAACCCGTTGTAAGTAGAGATATTTTACGAATGTCGCAAGTATTAGAAAAAGCACAAGGTATCAATAGCGACAAAAGTGATGAAACAGATAGTAACTATGAAAATGGAAACATTTCAGTAGAGAATGATATAAGTTTATCTTATAAAACTGAAATGGAATCATATAGTACCCTCAATGATAGTAACAAATCAATACAAGATAGTAGCAAGTTAATAAAAAATATTAATAGAAGTGCGAAGAAACGGAATAGTACGTAAATATTTCATATATACATATATATATTATAGAATATAATCAAAATTAAATACTCATACATTTTGCCACATCTAAATATAATTTATAAAATTGTACATATATACATCAAATTTGAAAAAAATATGTATAGTAATATTACACTAATGTAATTACTAATATTTTTTACAGCTCCACCATATGGTCGTACCAAACGTGTTCGATGGACAAATGAAGAAAAACAAATCATCATGGAACACTTTGGCGATTACATAAAAGATATTAAATTACCGTCTATAAAAGCAATCCAAGAGGTTATTGCAAAAAATCCTTGTTTACAAAATCCATCTGCATCAGTTGTAAAGACATGGATAAATAACCAACAAAAAAAGCAATAAGATATTACAACATAAAGCAATAGATTTTTCTATACTTTTTAACGAAAAAACTTATATATAATCCTTGAAAATGTTAATATGCTAGCTTATTGCTATTTATGATGTTAATCATTCGCTTTTTGATTTTGATTTTATTTTTTTTTTTACAACGCAATACTTTCGCAATTTTATTTAAAGATATTTTCACATTTTTATTTTGTTCTATGTGCGTTGTACATCTTGATTTAAAGTTAAAGATTTATAAACAGTTACTTTGTAAGTTTATTAATAGTTTTATAAAAATGTATAAGTTTAATAATAGTGTTATTTATAAGTTTTGTAAAAGTTGGTTTATATGTATAACAATAGAAGCAATGAAATATTTAAAGCGATATAATATTTTACAAGAATAAATATATAATATTTTACAAAATATAATATTTTACAAGAATAAATATATAAATACATATATATATATATGAAAATTTTTTTATAGGTATAAAAGTATATCTTTATATAATAGATTTCTAATATAAATATACGTTTTTATAGAAATATTTTGTCATGTATATTTAACTTATCCATTTATCCATTTAGTTTTGTATTAAAGTTACATAGATGCAATTTAGGTTAGCATATAGAATCAAATAAATCAGATTTAGTGACATGTTGAATATCTCTTTTTCAGTTAAATAAATTTAAATTAATTATAAGCTGAATGCTATTGTCATTACATTTCCAGTATTCTTGCTGCAGCAAAGCTATGTCATGGTCGTTTATGTTATATAAGATCTGCAAAATATTAAAATATAAGAAGAGAAAAATAAAATTATGTAAAAATGAAATTATGTTATATGTGCTTGTAGTAATCTGAAAAAAAAAGTTAAAAATTATATTTGAAATTTTTATCATATAATACATATGTGTGAAAATAACATAAGTATGAAAAGGAAATAGAATGTAAGTTTTTTAGTCCAATTATATATCTTACATAACATATAATGTATTTTAACTTGTGGATGTCATGCTATTACACTCTTAATATATTTAATACTTACCCAGATAGCAAAATGACGTTAAATGACATCTTATAATATAATTATAATAACGTCATAGCACGTCATTAAGATGTCTAAGGCCGGTATTCATAAACTGACATTACTAAAGCCCAGTTCCACAACTTACTTTAATCTAACAATAAGTTTAACTTGCTAAAGACGGATTTACATTGTGTCTGATACGGCGTCCGATAGGACAGAATGTATTTAAACGCCATGTAAATCCTTCTTTAACGAGTTAGCCCGGATCTACAATAGGTAATATAAGCACTAAGTCTTAAGAAATTGATCAATTTTTTAAGGCTTAGGGCTTAAATTACCTATTGTAGATCCGGGCTTAAACTTCGGTTAAAGTAAGTTGTGGAATTAGGCCTAAAGGTGTATTCAAACTAAGTTTAAGCGTAAGGTCGGGTTTACAATAGGTGATTTAAGTCTTAAGCCTTAAAAAATTGACCAATCACAGTCAAGTATGAAGAAAATACTTGACTGCGATTGGTCAATTAAGTATGAAGAAAATACTTGACTGCGATTGGCCAATTAAGGCTTAAATTACTTATTGTAGACCCGGGCTAATAGATGTAATAAGCCTTAGATAATTTTTTTTATACATATATGTATTTTTGTGCTTATCCATGTGTGCCTAAAAGATCGTATACAAGGTGTCCCACTTTCACCCAAAATAACTTTTTTTATTTTTGATTGTAGAAAAAAATGTTTCAGACAAAAGTTGTATTGTTTCGAGGGAGATATAAGATAGTGCCATTAGTTTGACCTCGAATAGTTGCTTGAAAGTTACGTAAAAATCATCTTCAATTTCTCAAACGGAACTATCTACTTTTCATTATATATTCTTTTAACTTACATTGAGAGCTTTCCAAAACCCTATAATTAAATTATTTTTTATTTGGTACTTTTCGAGTTATAAGGCTTGAAATAATTTCTCAAATTTACATAAACTGTAAAATATCTTGTAAACTATTCACCGTTTGATCATCTTATCTCAATACTTTTAAGCACAAAATAATGAGAGAAATCCATTGGTATAAAAAAAATACATAGTTATCTTTAAGAAAATATATGTAACTGTTAATTGCAAATTAAACATTTTTTTCAAGTCTTATAACTCAAAAAGTACTGAATAAAAAATAATTTAATTATAGTGTTTTGGAAAGCTCTTGAGACAAGCTGCAAGAATATGCAATAAAAAATAGGAAGTTTCATTTAAAAAATTAAAGGTGACCTTTACGTGACCTTCAAACAATTTTTCAAGATCAACTAATGACACCATCTTATGTCCCCTTTAAAACGATACAACTTTTGTCTGAAACATTTTTTTCTACAATCAGAAACAAAAAAGTTTTTTGGGGTGGGACATTAAAATGAGACACCCCGTATACAATGTATGGCAATTGGAATTATAATTGACAGTTATAGATTAACCAATCAGTCGGCAAGTTGCATTGCTTTGGTCAATCCGCAACTGTAATACCACAACCGCAATTAGGATTATTTAAAAGAATTAATCTATTTGAAAAAATTAAGTTGACCTTTAAATAATTTTGAAAAACGTCATCCAAGATCAAATTGACTAAATAAACTTTATTTTAAAGCCTACAACTTTTGTCTGAAATATTTTCGTAAAACATATTTTTCAAAATTTGCTGTTTAACACTTTATATGCATCCATATTTGCGTTTGTATACATCTATTCCTAAAAGTTTAATATTTATATATTTTAGGCATGCGATGGATATTTCCGAGACTGTCCTTGATAAGTTATATATGTATATTCCTGAAAGTCTATATGTACTATATGTAAATATGTATAGACTTTTAGGAATATATATAACTTATCCAAGACTGTCCTCAAAGTAGACAATACATACAAAATCGTTTTTCCAGGACAGTCCTGGAAATAGCCATTGCATGTCTAAAATATCCAGGACAGGTCTGGAAAATATCAAAAGTCCTGGAAATACATGATATATACCAGAAAATGTCCTGGAAAAGCTCAATCCAGCTATATATATATATATATATATATATATATATATATATATATATATATACGTATAAGAGTGCTCATATGTGAATGTTCGTGCATTTTACAATTGTGTATATACACTTTATATTCATAGTAGCTATAGATGTCCATCCTTAATATTATTATTTTATTAATTCAGGTGATACTTTTGCCAGGGGGGTACCCGGTGAGTAGGAACACGAATATAGGGTGTCCATTTATTTTCGTCATATGAAGACTTACTAGTAAGTAATATTCTGACATAATTATACTTAATAAGGTTTGGTATTATGAAATTTTGTCATTAAAGTACTTGAAAAAGGGGGATTATTATAGTTGAAAACTTTTTATATGAAGTGTTAATATTTTATAAGGCTTGGTACATGCATTCATATATAGAAGAGTGTGATCGTAAATGTTCATGGTTGATTTTTGATGGTGTTTATTGGCCTTATTCTGATTTTTTAATTAATTTAATCTAAATTTTATATCATTTTTGTTCATTCATGCTAGTTGGTTTTTCTTTCTTTTCATTGGCTCATGTGTATATGCCTTAAGCATATATATGCTATCCATTTTGTTATACTTAATGCTTTGCAAATTTTTATAAAATATTGACAGCCTCGTGTTAGAAATTATTATTCTTATGACCAAATATTATTTTACATTAATTTTTCAGGCATCCAGGAGGGGGGTCATGTGACTTCGCCATATAAGGTATTCTTATTTGATTTTCAGGTAAGATCACTTTAAATTATTATTTGTGTTATGGGTCGCTAGTATTTGGTTAAATTTCGTTATTAGCTTATTATAAGTGAATATTTTATTTGTTAAGGTTTTATTATTCATTTATTATTGGTTATAAGAGTGGATGCATATATATATATACACATATATATATATATATATATATATATATATATATATATATATTCATATGTATAATTGTTAGAATTATTTTGTAGAATTTGAAGCTAGATTTTACTACCAAAATTTTGTTTCTGAAATTTTTTAATCATTAATATTTTTATTAATTTATGGTCTAAGAACATATATTCATTTTTATTTGTTTTTAGGTGTCAACAGGTTTAGCAAGAAAACAAGCAGTGCTGAATTAAAATGTTGATAGTCAAGGATATATTATTATTTCTAAGGGTAAGTTTTATCAAAATTTATGCGAATTCATTATTGTTATTATTATTGTTATTAGTATTATTATTATTATTTATATTTAAATTATTTCAATTTTAATCATAGTGAACTATTAGTACTATTTAATTTATTAGTTTTATTAATTGTTAAGTTTTGATTATTATCTTACGTTTTTATTTATAATTTTGTCTTTACAGGTTTCATAGGATATTTATTAAATGTTCATTGTTAGTTGGGAATTAATATATATATATCTTGTAATTATTCAATGGCACTTAAATTATATTATTATAAAATATTTTAACATTTATTATTCTTGTATTTGTTATGTTATCCTTGTGACGATATTAAGTCGGATACTAGTAATTTTGATTTTAATGATATTATTTAGAGGGAGAGTTCGTTTGATATTTATACGATTTTGTTTTGTATTTCGATTATTAGTATCGCGATATTATTTAGTGCATAGCTGTTATTTATTTGGTGTTATGATTTATAGGTTATACTGGGAGCAGTATATCGATGGTCAATGGAAAATAAAATATTATCGTCGTGAGGGGTTACATCTATATACCCAATATGTTGGAATTATTATCCCAGAGATGTATACGAGAGCATTTTCACCCAAATTTGGACGTCATTTTTTTGATGAATTAGTCGACTAGTGTGGTGATCTACTTGGTCATGGTATCATGATTATATTATTTTTATAATTCTATTGTAAAAGATCTCGAAGTTACAACACTTTTGTTTGGTAAATTTGATTGTTAGCACCATATTTATACTTC